AAGCTCTCAGGAAGAATTGTACTGCATCTGCAGGGGTCCAGATATAGGGGATTTTATGGTTGGGTGCGATGGATGCATAGAATGGCTCCATGGGAGGTGTGTGGGTATTTCATCGCAAGAGGCTGAAGAACTAGGGGAATACCTATGCCAAACTTGCAAAGAGGCCAAGGAAACAAAGGGTGCGACCTCAACTCCCATTAAACTCCGTAGGAGCGTACGTAACCGGCGTCCTACAAAAGAGTGAGGTGTTAGTTGATGAGAAAAAAAGGGGAGGGGAGGTTGGGTAAGGGAACGAACTTGCTCACTCATTTGAAGTGATGAGTAAGGTTGGATACACCTGTATTTTTCAGAACTTCAAGCAGGATGAGCAGTGCAAGCGACGAAGGGAGTTCTAAGAGAAACAATGATTGGAAGTTTGGGAGGGAGCAGGCTGAGAAAAAGAAAGACAAAGATGCAGGGCACAGAGGGACAGGGTCCAGAAGACCAGCCTTAACAAAGAGACTCTCCAGGAGAGACCTTGACCGTTCAGGTAGGAGGGAGAGGACCTTTAGAGAACAGTCCCAAAGCCCCCAAGAGACCAGCCGGGGAAGGAAAAGGGGCAAGGCTCCTGAAAGATGGTTCGAGGCACGTTTGGCCAGGACCTCGCCCCGTAGCGAGTGGACAGACACTCAAAGTGATTTGGAGAGAGACAGATCACCCCCAAGAAGGGTCGTGATGAAATCCGTTTGTATCCCCAAGGGTACAGAGGGAACGGCCAGACAGGCAGAATCAAGGCCCAAGTCCCCTGTCCAGCGTTGGGTAACAGTTGATCATGACCCTACACGGACAGTGGGACCTGCAGGTGGTACCTCCAAAGCAGGCTCTAACTCCAGCAAGCAAAGGGCCAAGGGTCCAGAGAAAAGGGCAAAAGAGAACTGGAAACGGGCTGAGCGAAGGCGAAGGGCATTTCTTAGAGAAATGCAAGAAAATGGACTAAGCCAGAGGTCTCAGAAAAACAGTAGGGAAACCAGACGGACCCTGTGGCAGTCTTGTGGAAATGGTAGGCCTTCAATTCCACGTCCAGCGCTGTCCCGTAGAGACAAACCATCTAGCCCAGTTGCATTCCAGTCTCCTAAGGACGAGGAGGATGGGTTTATATTGTGTCCTGTAGATAGTTGTAATGTTAGGGGCATCAATATAGAACCACACATCAGGGGAGAACATCTTGTGGAAATTTTCCAGGAACCGTCGGGAGGGCTCAGATCTAACCTTTTGGTTAAAGCTCGGTTTGAGGCCCTCCAGACCCAGTCAAAAATGATTTTGGGAAGAGTTGACATTTTGGGTTTAGCTGCCTGGGTCAATCGACTGATGAAAAACTGGTTCAGGATTGTTGAGCAAGTGGAGATGGGACCAATGAGGGAAGTATGTGCTGCTGGTGGATGGTCTTTACCATCTCAATTTACTCTGGTCCCCGTTAATTCTCAAGGGGTATTAATTCACTGGAGGGTACAGATCTTAATTATGTCCTGGATTGGAGAGAGGAGAGGTCAGGAACTTCGTGAGATGTACCCTGTGGACCCTCTCTTGTCACAGAATAGAATTGGTCCAGTGAAGAGCCACAGGCAAGCTTCTGCTAGCTGGGGAGCATCCCCAAGGTTAGAAACCGTAATGTCAAGGCCCAGGCCTATTACTGTTGACGCCCACTTCCACCTGGATAGGGCTTGGGCTAAAACCAATCTTCCGGGTAGGCCAAATCTTAGACAGTACATGGAGATGAGGCTGCCAAGTAGCCAACAATATGACGTTGATGTAAGAGAAGGGGTCATCAATTTCTGCGACCCCTTAACTTGGCCATCAGACAAGGAGCTCGAGGTACAAGACCAGAGCTGGGTGGTTGCTATGGGGGTGCACCCGAAGAAGGCACGGGAATTGGAAGATGAGAGAGCCTACAGACTTGAAACCCTACTCAAGGCTGGGAAATTACGAGTCCTTGGAGAGGTTGGTCTAGACTTCTCGATGGGAGCCCCTCGGCCTCAGATCCAGATTAGCACCCTAAGATGGGTCCTAGGAATAGCATCACCGGGAGGAGTTCCTGTGGTACTCCATGTGAGAGGGGGTAAGGATGATGTCCATAGTGCCCAGGCCCACATTCAGTGTATGAGGCAGTGTAGGGCTAGTCTAAAAAGCGGTCACCCTATCCACCTACATTGTTTCGATGGAGGCTGGGAGCAAGCAAAACTAATGGTTGGAATATTTCCCAGAGGTTCACTTTGGATTCACAGGATCGGTGAAAGCCTTCAGTGAGGAGCAGAAGTTGGCGGTAGCCAGGATACCCCGGGACCGCCTCCTTCTGGAATCGGATGCCCCTTACTTCAGGCCCGCTTGGGTTCCACAGGCCGGGTATGGTCATCCCAGGTTACCTGGCGGAGGTGGCAAAAGGTATAGCTTCGATCAGACAGGGAGCGACTGTGGATGGAGTCCTTCAAGAGGGTGGGATGAATACCCTTAGGTTTTATGGCCTAAGGGTGTAGAGAGGGAAGGACTATAATAATAGACAGTGTGTACAAATTGTAAATACGTAAATTGTTAATACAGACATTTCACAGTATTATTGTTTGATGTGTGCCAGGAAGGCTTGTCATTGTCCTTTTAGTTCAGTGCTGGGTATTTTTGAAATATGGGATTCAGACTTAATCAGATGGGTGGGGGTGGTTTTTAATTTTCAAGACAGATGTGAGAGAATGTAAATCCTAGAACTGGCACCAGCACCGCCCTGAGCATTGAAATTTGTTGGGGCCCAGCCAAACAGGATGGCGGTATGTCACCTCTTGATCTTGGTTGGGGCCCTTCAAACAAAACAGGGGGGAGTGTAGTGCTGGTTCCCGGTTTAACCTGGCTCTAATCCGGATGTCCAGAAATACCGGCACATGCGCAGTCTCCCAATGTCGACAACCTAAAGAAAAAAGACAGCCTTGTAAGTGCAAATAATAAATCGTTCTATCTAGGAGAATCCTTAGATCGGAACAGCCATCGTTGATAGCCACACTCGGAAAACAGTAGCACATTCTATCAATAGCAATAACAAGCATATTATAGTTCTAAAAGTATTGATATAATGAAAGACTAATCATAAACATCTATAGTTAAAAAAGAGACACAAGATTACAAGGGACCAATAAAAAGTCATGTCGACGAAAAACGAACAACAATATGGCCCGACGACGAAACTACAAACATTTCTACAGAACTTTACACAGAAAACTGAAGACTGAGTAACACAAACCCCAACAAAAACCGAAAGGTTAACAAATCCTGATTTACTGGTGACACGCAAGTGAATATTATGTGATAAAACGCATCTGATTATGTCATAATAGGGAAAAAGAGAACAGGAGTGTAGCTTCGACAGTTGGGACAATTCTGTAGACATCTGTAAAACAGATTTTACCATAACGGTCTATGAAATTAATATATTATTATAAAGAATTTCATGCTTTACCTGTCCATTATATATGGCGCTATCTTGTAGTGTTGAATCCATCTTTGATAAATGTTCATAAGTGTTTGACAGATGTTTGCAATATAAATTAATTTCCACATCCACAGGTACATCAAAATTAACTCGTACTCTTTTAAGTAAATCCTCTGGAAAAAATAAAAAAATAAATAATGCTCAAAATAGGATGTGGCTATATTTTGCCAAAAAAATTATTTAACAGCATAACTTACAATATGTGGTTATATCAATCAAGCAAGTAAAGAAAATTAGATATCCAAAAAATAATATATAACACAATATGGATATAAGACCAGACCTGGGATAATTAAAAATGTAATTGTAATTAGCTGTAATTAATTACAAATTTGAAAGTAATTCAATGTAATGTGTAATTGAGCATATTTTCAATTACATGTAATTGAAAGCAATTAATTAAATTGCCTTTTTGCCATGTAATTATGAATTACATTTCAATTACTCTCAATTATATTAAGATATTTGCTGGGAAATTTAAAAAAAAAACATTTTGGGCTTTTCTGATGCAATCACACATCATACAGTTGGTACTTTAATTTCTTTTTAATACTTTATAAACATTTTAAAGTGTTGAAGAAAAATAGCATTCCTTAATAATAATACTTCATTAATTATTATAACAAGTAATATAATCCTTATTTGTACTTATTTCATTAATTTTTTTTCACATGCATAAAAAATCTAAAAATTATAAACAATAACAATTTATTGACCTGGGGCCTGTTTATCGAAGCTCTCTTAGGATTAGGACGTGTCCTTTGACCAACTTAGGACACATCTTAGTCCTAAGTGGGTTTATCAAACATGTCGCAAGTTAGGAAAATCCTAGGAATTGTCCTAACTTTAGGATACCAATTTAGGTGTCTTAAGATGGTCTTAGGATGGTCCTAACTTTAGGATATATTTAGGACGGTCAATTTATAAACAAACATGGCCGCCGCATATATACGTTTAAGAAGAAGAGCAAATAATATTCGTAGGAATAGACTTCTTAGGGACTATGATAATCCGCTGGACTATCTTGATGACATTGACATTATACGCATGTATAGATTATCACGTCCATTGATACTAGACCTATGTAGAATGTTTGAAAATGATTTGAAACGGCCTACAATGAGATCACGAGCATTTCCAGTATCATTGCAGATTATGGTGGCGATTTTATGCAACTGGAAGCTTTCAACTCGTAAATGCAGATGTTCACAATATATCAAAGTCAAGCGTCTCAAACATTTCCCGGGATGTAACCCAATGTTTAGTAAGAGTTTGCCAACAGTATGTCGTAATGCCTACAGACCCAGAAGAGTTGCAAAGTGTTATGCAAGGGATCTATAATGTAGCGAATTTCCCTAATGTTGTAGGAGCAATAGACGGCACACATATTAGAATTAGAGCGCCGTCGGTAGATGAACATATTTATGTGAACAGGAAGAATTATCACTCCGTTAACGTTCAAGGTGTATGTGATTCGGATATGAAGTTCATGAATATAGTTGCCAAGTGGCCAGGTGCAACCCATGATGCGTTCATCTGGGCTAATTCTAACATTAGTGAAATGTTCGAAAACCGAACAATAGGACACGGGTGGCTGTTAGGTGACAGTGGATATCCACTGAGGCCTTGGCTTCTCACACCTGTTCTTAATCCAGGGACAAGACAACAACAAGGATACAACGAAGCACATATGCAGACAAGACGCATTGTGGAGAGAAGCTTTGGTTTGCTGAAATCGCGTTTCCGGTGCATAGACACAAGTGGTGGCACACTATTGTATACCCCTAAGAGATGTTGTGACATTGTCATCGCTATTGTTGTATTGCACAACATTTGTATAATACATAGACTTCCATTACCTGCAGACAATTTTGAAGACCGTGGACGTCTTGGCAGACAACACTACAATGGTAATTTGAACGACGGAGCTGCTGTGCGTCAGAGACTGATTAATGGCAGATTTTGATGCAAAATAAATTTTTTTTTTCTAAAAAAACTAGTTTCCATTTCTCATTGTAAAAAAGGGGGATGTTGTAAGCATTCCCATATTCATGTGCATGTTCCAAGTCAGAAAACTTGTAATTAAGTGCATATACATTTTGTCTTTTTCTTTTGGTCTTTCCAATTCAGTATTGTGTAGAGATATTTTCTGCAAACACATTTGATGTCAAGAAAAAGTGGGTAAACAGAACATGAATATAATATTTATTCATATATAGATATAAGAAGATGTGGTATGAGTGCCAATGAGACAACTCTCCATCCAAGTCAAAATTTATAAAAGTAAACCATTAAAGGTCACAGTACGGTCTTCAACACGGAGCCTTGGCTCACACCGAACAGTAAGCTATAAAGGGCCCCAAAAAATTACTAGTATTTGTGCTTTTTTGTTTACTAAATACATGTGTGAAATTGAAACGTTGGTTTACAAAAGGGATTTACCAAAAGCTAAAATGAAATAACTAACTAAATACATAAGTATGACATTAGCGTGATGTATTTATATGCAAAATATTTTTACAACACACAGTTTTAGCTTGATGGATTGTCTTTTTCTACACTGGTTGATGGTGTATCTGCTACATGTACACCCATTTGTGTCATGCTAATGTTGAGCTTTGCCATATATAGTTGATGCTTTTGTTGTTCAGTCACTAGCCTTTGTTGGTCGATTTCTAGTCTAAGCTGTTCAATGTGTAATCTCTGTTTTTCAACATGGAGACGTTCCTTTTCAACCTTCAACCTTTCACTTTCTATTTCTATCAACTTACAGTCCTCTGGTGATGGTTCACTAAATTTCCCCTTTGAAGATTTGGAAGATGAAGCACCAGAAGAAAACGAATTGCCACAAAAGTTTTCTCTTGTACACCTTGATTCACTAATTGAACAGTAGGACATGTCTGAAAATAATCAACAAAACGTCAAAAAAATGAATAATACCATGCATAGTTCCTGTATTTGTAAGGTCGACATGCAGAAGGTCACTGTTAAAAAAAGGGGTTGGTGGTTGTCAAGATCAATCGGTGTGTTTGATTAACCGAAACACTGAAAAAAAAACATACATTTGTCATATACAACAACCAAAATAAAACAAGAACAAGGTAAATAGGAACTTGCAGTCTCTTTAAGACATATAATCAGAACTAATTTAAACAAACACCTACATAGGATTGATAGATTGATGAATGTTTCATTTACACCTCTTTAACGCCAAATCGAATCAACACAAATAACGCACTGTGGTTTAATTATTGATTGACTGCTGTTTTTTTACGTCCAGTGGCAAATATTTCATGAACGATCAGGACGACTGGTAAAAAGAATCGTGAAATGTTTGTTATTGAATTATTATACATAAGCGAGTATGAAAATTAGTATTTTATATGTGTCTTCATGCAATAAACAGACATAATATGTAATATATACTACACAAAAGTATGTAAGGTTTATTTACTTTCATAACTTATTCACTGGTAAAAAATAAGCTTACCATTTTCATTTGAAGAGTCAGAATCTCTTGTCTGGGTAGGTTCTTCGACGGGGGCTCCGTCCATTTCTATGCCAGGACATGTGTCAATACCTCCTTCTATTCCGTCTATGGGGGTGTTGCCTATAATTCCGACAACTTTATCTTGCAAGGGAGTCAGCTCTTCAGGAGGCGGTCCACCGCCAGTTTTCCTGGATTCTCTGCGTATTCGGACAGCCTGCTTTTTAGCATTACTCGTGTACGTGCTCCATTTCTTTCTAATTTCATCTACGGTTCTTTTGTGGTCGGTGTTGGTTGCATTTACTTTACTGCAGATGGAATCCCAAGCCTTCTTCTTAGCACCATAGGTTGAAACATTCGAAAGCTTACTAAAAAGCAAAGTCTTATTCTTTTCAACTTCGTCCAGGAGAGTCTGTAGTTCAGCATCTGTGAAGTTCGGATTTCGTCTCTTGCTCATTTTCACACGTATTTTTTTAACAGTTATAAAAAAGTTGAAGTACTCCGTATTTATATGAAAGATGCACGAGATTTGCCTTTGAACTTTTAAAAGAATGAAACCGTGACACTTCGAATTCAACTCACTCAAAACATATAATGATTTTTACCGATTATATATCTAGTAGTTAGTTTGTTAAAATTTTATATAAAACGTATTTATTATTTTTGTCTTATGTTTTGTTTTATACAGTTTAAATGTACAATTATTATATAAAAAATATTTATTACCTTTTATTTAAAACTAATATTTAGTTTCTAATTAACCATATTTAAAAATTATAATTATTGGTTGAATTTGATATCATATTTTATTTAAAAAAATTTTAATTTGTTATTTTCTTTTACGCCAATACTTAGGACATCGGTTAGGACATCCTAGCTAAGATAATCCTAAGATAGCTTCGATGTGCATGCTGAGACGTGTCGTAAGTCGGTCCTAACTTTATCCTAACTTTTGTCCTAAGACATTCTTAGGACGAATCTTAGGACAGTTTCGATAAACAGGCCCATGATTGACATATAATTTTTAAATATGTTGTTCTTACAATTAACAATAATCTTAGCCTTAGGATATTTCCTTTCACATTACTAATTTTACAAAAATGTCCCTTGATTAAAATTGCCAAATGCAATTTTTCTCTTAAACCATCATATTTATATGTTATAATCTGTTCAGATGGTTATTATTTAAACACATTCTACAAAATTTTAAATATAGAAGTCAAAACATATGATAAAAGAATCCTATATACTTGACAATTTTGACTTGCCAAAAGACAAGTTTGGAAATTTAATAAAGGCAAAAAGCTATCATTGCTCTGATGTAATAAATGGAAGCTTGACTCACATGAGATGAATAAGAAAACCGTTTTTAAAAAATCTAAATAAACATTTTTAGCATGTTTAGTAGAAACTTAAAATTTTAAGAAAAAGTTTTTTAAGAATAAAAAATGTATTCATTTGTATCAATATATATATAAAACTATTTACAAAAATGTTTTTTTCCATAAAAAAAGAAATGCAATCAAATAATCAGCATTAAAAATCTAATGATGATTAAATGTAACAATGATGTTTGAAATTTGAACTTGTACAAATGTTTTCACTGTTTAAAGTTTCATTCTAGCGTGTTTTCATTTTTATGATTTTATCTTATGTAATATAGCTCTTACATTTCTTTGGACAAAAGTAATTGAAAAGTAATTAATTACATTGGCAATGTAATTGTAATGTAATTAATTAATTTGACAATCAATGTAATTGTTATGTAATTAATTACATTTAAAAATCAATGTAATTGAAATGTAATTTATTACTTTGGCATGTAATTGACCCCAGGTCTGTATAAGAGAGCACTAAAATAGCACCCGTAATTGTAAATGCAGATCGAACGGAGCCGCAACCTGTGATGCACTATGCTATGCTATGAAAATATTGGATATCTTCTAATATCTAAACTAGAGCTGTCTGGTGTAGATATTAATAAACTTACAGCTTCAGTTTTATTTTTTATGCATCACAAATTTACACTAAAGCAGTAAGACGAGAGAATTAAAAAAAATATCAACTTTTAAAATCATATTATTCTCAAGCTGAGTAATCAGAAGAGATATATTCTAGGCTAAAATATCATTGTGGTCAACCACATTACGAATGTATCCGTAAAACAAAGGGATGAATTCAAGTTTACAATTTGGATTCCTTGGTTCAATAACAAACACCTAACATGGAAATCAAAATAGAAAACGCTAGCTCTGGAATATGCTCGAGATTGCATAGTCTACAGTGAATGCGAAACCAAATTTATTTGTATAACATTTATAATCCACAGTTAAACAGCATTCAAGGAAGTTAGTCCAAACCTAAATTATATTTTAGATGGATTCATGAAGTTACATATGTCAAAATTAAAAATTGAATTTTGGATGACTAACTATATTTTGGTATATAGCTTTTACATGTATTAAGTTAGAGAAGTAACCATATCATGTGGTATAATATGCCTTTTTCTTTCGGGTAAAGATTTACATCTGTGGCGTACAAAATTTTAATCCTGGTATCTATGATAAGTTTATTAGTGACATGTTTACAAAAAATTTTAATACGCAAAGTTAGTGGAATAAAGTGAAGTGGTCTGAAAGTAAACATGTACTTAGCATATCTACAAATAGTCAATTAATCGTTGCATATATTGTTATAAATTTTTTTAAAACAATATCATAAGTGTCATAGCTCATTATTATAATTATTTTACATTAAATAAATTGTGCCTTCTTAAATTTATGGAACGCCCTGACTGCCTTATGTTGATGATCGTCATTATATGCAGTGGGCACAGCATTATATGCAGTGGTCACAACATTATATGCAGTAGTTACATCATTATATGCAGTGGTCACACAGCATCATATGCAGTGGTTACACAATTGTATGCAGTTGTGACAACATTATATGTAGTGGTTACAACATTATATGCAGTCGTGCCAACATTATATGCAGTTGTCGGAACATTATTTTCAGTGGTTACAACATTATATGCAGTGGTCACGACATTATATGCAGTCGTGATAACATTATATGCAGTCGTGATAACATTATATGCAGTCGTGACAACCCTATATGCAGTGGTTACAACATTATATGCAGTCGTGATAACATCATATGCAGTTGTCACAATAACTTGTTTTGTTGATGAAGGTAATGATCAGTGAGAGTGATGATGATAATTGATGATAGTGATGGTGGTGGTTCAAATTTGGTAAGCTTCGGAAGTTTTATCGGAAATTACCAAATCTGGTCATAATTGATAATGCCCCGTAAACAAAACGAAACAGTTATTGAAGTCATGTAATTTAGGCAATTCGATAGTAATCTTTATCAGCGAAAAAGTAACACCTCAGTCCTGCTACTGTCTGCAAATTGGAAACACATTATTTTATCCATTTAGGGGTAGGCCATTTCGAGGAAATGATGAAACTAAGAGTTGAATGCATTGAATATAGTTCTATTCGTCTTAAGATATACGCACGGCCTAATGTATTTAAAAATAATGAATAATAATAATGAAAAATTGAATGGAATTTGTATACTCTATGCCTCGAGTTCATTTCTTATTCAACAACCAAAAGCTATATGCCACTTCAGTCGATATTCAGTGCCATGTCTAATATATGTAAGACTCAGATCGACGTCCAACGGGAACCTATAATAGAGGTCCGTTCCTCAAATCAAGGCCTAATATATAAACTCTCTATATATAATCGACGTCCAATATGGTGTCATGTCGACTGTACACCAAAACTATTACTCGGAGTTTCCTCTTTTCGATGTCTAATATGATTTAATCATTTGTTCCCACTTTGATCTTTGTTTTTATTTTCTCTGAAGTGATCGTTTTGTTTTCATATAATGCTGTCCACATGTACTAATAGTTTCTATTTTAAATATTTTATAAACATATCATAATGACTTATGCAAAGGAACAACAAAGGGATGAAACACCCTGTCACAAAGAATGAAATATAACAAAATAAAAAAAAAAACAAAAAAAACGAACATGAATAAATGACAAGCAGTCAACCATCGACAGCAGATTCTACGCTTGAACAGTAATATTTTGCAACACATGGAACACGTTGATCCTTTTAATCTACGTACTATGTCTAATTCCTTTCATATTCAAATGAATAATGGAGATGTGGATATGCGCCAATGAGACAACAAACAAACGACAAAGATAACCGTACAACACTGGAGTCATACATTCGGCAAAAATAGACAGCTATCTATACAATTTACCCCGAATGTATTCTACGACAGTTATAATGTCTATTTCTGAACATTTAACCCCAAATAAACATCTTCAGATTACCTGGGACTGCAATTTTAATATATAATGACCCAGTATTTCTCAAGAAGAACCAAATATCTATCAGATGTTAACTATGTATTGTATTTTGGAAACAAATTAGTTTATGATGGTCAACGATGTCATTCGAAATAAAATATTACTAAAACATATAAGATTTGCAATATTATTTTTAAAGGGAATGGAACAGCAATTTTAAGTGCAAAATAACTATTCTATGAACAAAAATCTTTTTTAAGTATATAGTTCGGACTATGTAATACATAAAAATCCAATAAGTTTCGACAATTTTCCAATTTTTACCCCGTGAGTGAAACATATACAGGGAAAGAAGCACCACGTCTTTAGCAGAAACAATCAGGATCTACCATCAAAAGTAAAATTCAGATATGAAATTTTACAACTTCTGAAGAGGATCCTAACATGGGATATGGAAAACATTTTGTTAGCTATAAATAACTGAAGTCCCCAGACTATAGCAACGAGACAAGCTTGTATATGAGAAGAATAAGAACGCCATTAACAACAACGAGAAGAATTCACAGTAAACAATAGTTCTCCATTAAGAGACATATTAACTAGTGGCGAATTTTTGTTGTTGTAGAGTATAATACAGTATATAATTAAACGCTAGCCTAGCGCCTGTGTGTTGAGGTGACCAAATTTTTGTGCGGACCTTCATTATTATCAAAGAAGTGCGCAGTAACAAATATTATTCCTCTCATCTGATCATCTGATGCTTTCATCTGGACCTTAACACAAAATTATATCAGAATCTTTCATGCGTAAAATATAGGTGAAAGTGACCAACTTTTTTCCTTTGTAATTATCAAAGATGCGCGTACTGAAAAGATACCATTCCTCTCTGACTTGTAGTTGCTTAGATTCTTTATCTTAATGCAAAACTTAACAAGAATTAAATATGTGTAAAATGTAGGTCGAGGTGACCCTTTTTTCATGGACATTCGTTACTATCAAAGATGTACGCGTTAATAGTAAAGCATTCCTATTTTTTGACTCGCAGATTTTTCGATCTAGACCTAAACGCAAAACTTAACCGTGACAGACGGACGGACAAACGGAGTAAACGCTATATCCGCTCCCAACTCCGTTTGTCGAAGGGATGAAAAAGATGATAACTAGGAATTTAAATATCAAAATGGGTCTGGAAAAGGGTGAATTCCTACTAAAAGTATATATTTTGATATGAACATCAACTATAACCAAAAAAAAAAAAAAAATGTATATCTGAAGTTGTAAAATATGATCGATGCTTTCATATATGATCATATATCTCTTAGGTTAATGCTGCTGCTCAAATTTAAAAGACAAACTGCTTTGCGTGCTAAAAAGCTTGCCAAAGTTGGATACAATTGATTTTGAGTTATGACAAACACCTACTGTACAATAAAATGCTTTAAACTGCATCTTTCATGTCTGTTAGATACTAAATTATGAAAAAATGCATAATTCTGAAAATCAAAGCCAAATAATGGCTCTATCATGACATCTATAAACGAGATATGGGGTTAGGTCTTATAGACAGCGGACTATTTTAATAAAAATGTATTTATGCAATTTAAACTTAATATCGACTACAAAGTGGCACCTAGCTATTGTTGTTCAGTAGGAAATGAACTCGAGCATATAGTAAACAAACTGTCCTTTTATATATCATTATTATTATTCATTATTTTTACTTACATTATGTCATGCGTATTTCGTAAGACGAACAGGACTATAATTAATGCATACAACTCTTAGTTTCATCATTTTCTCGGAATGAGGGTCCTCGGTGGCCAAGTGGTCCAAGTAGTCCAACTACTGTATCACTAGCCAGTCAAGACTGAGGTTGTGAGTTCGAATCCCGCACGGGGCAGGTGTACTTGACTCCAATCTTAATTGACTAGGATTGTCAACGAAATAGCACAATAGTGTTGAAAGTGGCGTTAAACACTAATCAATCAATCAATCAATCCTCGGAATGAAATACCCCTAAATTTATAAAATGATGTTTGTCCAATTTGCAGACAACAGCAGGTGGTATTGTTTCTCTGGAAAAGTTTTCAATGGAATTGCCTAAATTAAATGACTTCAATAACTGTTTCATTTTGTTTGCGGGGCGTTATCATTTATGACACTGCATATAATGTTCCGACAGTTGCATATAATGTTGTCACGGCAGCATACAATGTTGTGAATACTGCATATAATGTTGTAACCACTGCATATAATGTTTTGACCACTGCATATAATGATGTCACGACTGCATATAATGATGTGACCACTGCATATAATGATGATCATCAACATAAGGCAGTAATGGCGTTCCATATAAGTTGTACGCTTATAGTGAATGTGTGGATTGGTGGATACTGTAATGTATACAGGGAAATATAATGCCAGAAAAGTTTTAAAGCCTATAAGAATATAAAAGATCTGTTGCGGTATTAGTTTGATAAGGATATGCAAACATAAAGTAGACGGACTCAAACCCGACAAAATATAATTTTACGATACTTCTTCATTTTTGTAGACATCAGATAAACTATCACTTATTTAAATTTCACACCAATCATATACTTTGCTAAAACCAAACGCTTGCCAAAATTATTGAATACGATTACTTACTTATTAAATCAGCGCGACTCATAGATTGAATGACATATTCAGATTGAAACTGTCGTGGACACATCTTTATCTCTAACGGATATGTTTCTATTTTACAGATTTTGACAAACATTCCCTGTTCTATTACTAAACGTTCTATTGGTACCTAAAAGAACAGATATAGATAGCACACTATTTATATTATGTGTTAATATATTTGTACAATTCTGCGAAGGTGTTTTATTTTCAAATGAGTAAGGTCTGTAAATCATAATGTTTTGACCCTAAAATATAAAAGTGTTTGCTTGATCTATCAAATAATAAAAGACAGCAAACTATTTATCGGTCAAGGAACAGAAACGTTAAAAACTTCATTTGTAGTCATCATATGTAACAATAATCAATGATTCAATAAAACGTAGAAGAAATACTAATATGCACATTTTGTCATTACACTCACCCTACACGAATCATCGGATTCAATTTACGTACCCATTCACACAGGACATAATTTCGATACATCCCGCACAATCAACCAGAAGCCACCTGAATAACAAGAGCTTTACTGTCGGCTGGGAGAAATTCCAGTAATAAATATATTTCTATTCTTAAGTCAACCCTTAATTGGAGGTGCATTTAAAAGCATTAACGGTACCAATTTTCTGCACCAGATGCGCATTTCGACAATAAATGTCTCTTCCGTGATGCTTACATCTATAAATGATAAATATGTATTGTATCTCGTAAATGCTTCATTTTTATGCATACTGTAAACGTGTAAATGAACGATGGCACATTGCCTAAATTGCGTACTTAAATCATATGTAAGAGCTTAATTAGTCCTGATAAAATGTGTCTGGGCGGACACACATTACTAGTATAAAAAGTCCATGGTTGCAGAATTTACTAGTATTTTTAGTCCGATGTCAGTTATTTATGTCCCCAGACTAATTTTCCTAGGAATTCATGTCCTTGTCATTAATATCCTAGGTAAACACGCCCATGTCTTTTATTTTACTGGAAAGAAATCATTTACTTGATGTAAACAATGGAATTTTTAATTGTTATGTTTCAATATCGTATAACAGTTGTGCATTAATCTTTTAATAAAATGTATGTCCCCAGACTAATTTTCCTAGGAATTCATGTCCATGTCATTAATATTAGTTTGTAAAAACGTCCATGTCCTTTATTTTACTAGGAAAATTTGTAAGGAAAGAAATCATGTAACATTGGAATTTTTAATTGTTATGTTTTAACAGTTGCGCATTTATCTTTTTAATAAAATTTATGTACCCAGACTAATTTTCCTAGGAATTCATGTCCATGTCATTATTTTTCCTAGGCAAAAACGTTCATGTCCTTCATTACTAGGAAAATAAGTGCCGGACATATTTTACTAGCTATGGACTAATTTTCCTAGGATAATTTATTCTGGGATTTACATTAGTAGTAGGAAGAGGGGGATTCTGCGGCACTTTCAATTTTTATGGGTTAGGGTTTAATTTCAAATAGGAGTAAGAGATGAAATTTGAAAGTGAGGGGTAAGTTTTAATCAAATAGGAGTAAAATTTGAATTTTAAAGTAGTAATATAAAATTGAAAAAATAACTATAAAGACTTGAGTACTATAGTATTGTATTATGATGGCTTCTTTTGATAATGACTTTATGAGTTTTAGTGATTTGGAAGAGAAGGTACAAGAACAAAATGAAGAAACATTGAAATGGAAGAACCTTCCAACTGGTGTATGGTATAAAATTATTGAAGTGACAGAAGTAGATGGTAAATTTGGAAGAGTCGTATATTGAGTGTAAAAACAAGGGAATGAGATAGTACAATGGTGTTGGCATGTAGTGGGTTAAACAAAGAGAATGATATTTTGGAAGGGGCCTATGTAAGAAGTAAGAAATCTAAAAATGAGTATTTTTCTGACGACTTGGTTAGAATGTAAGTAGGAATGAATACCTGTTCATTTTTTAGGTAACACTAAATTAAAAAATGTTGATACTTTATTTAAAAAAAAATGAAAAAAACTTTAAAAGGTTGAGGTTTATATTATTATATTTTGATGGTTTCTTTTAACAATGACTTTATGAGTATTAGTGCTTTGGAAGAGAAGGTACAAAAACAAAATGAAGTGAAGGAACAAAATAAAGTTTTAAAATGGAAAAATTTTCCAAATAAGGTGTGGTATTACATAGTTGAAGTAAACAAAGTAGATGGTAGGACTATATTGACTTTAAAAACAAGGAAAGGAGATATAATAATGGTGTGGGCATGTAATAAGTTAAACAAAGAAGACGCGCCTTTAAAAGGTGCTTACATAAGAAATACAGGTTTTATACATGAAGGATTTGGTCAATATCAATCTAATGTGGCTACTTTTTCGTACCACTTTGGTATAGTCAATGATAGAGATGGGTATGGGTTTAGGTCTTATTATGTTTTGTCAAAAATATTTGAACCACTTTTAGAAATAAAAACATCTTAAGTATATGCCAATTCTTTTTTAATCTAGCTAACACTAGATTAAAAAAGAATTGGTACTACATTTAGAAAATGAAAAATAAAAAAACATTAAAGAGAAGAGTTAGTAGTAGTAAATAAAGAAATGAATACAAACAACATGCCTGGTCTACCTGGATTAACATCTACAACACATATACCAAGTGAAAGTAGTGGTGCTAGATTTGTAAACACAGATGCACCTAATGAAAAGTTGCAGGTAAACATGACTGTAAAGCAACTTCGACAATTGGCTAAGGATAAGGGGTTAAGTGGGTACAGTAGGTACAGTAGGAAATCCAAAGATATGTTAATTAAATTCATTGAAGAAAAAAAACAACCATGCGTTTATTCGTGAAGAAGTGTTTACTAAAAAGGAATAAAAAACACTTGCAAAAAAACAAGGAAACGCTAAGTATTCTCGGTTAAGAAAGGATGATTTACAAGATTTAGTAAAACCCACCTTAAAAGTATATGATAGAAAAAAACATTAAAAGGTACATTTCGCACAGTTATCATTGAACCTATAAAACCTTTTGATGTAGATATTTTTTTTAAGGCAATTAAGGGTAAAACAAGCAAAACCATTACAGAGTCACTTATAAAAGTTAAGGCTTTAAAAGTGCAACTAGTACAACGAGTAGAATTGGTAAAAACTAACCCAGCCACAGGTGACAGCACTTATGTGACTCCTTATTCTAGATCAACAGTAGTGACTATTACAAAAACAACAGACCTTGATTTAGGTATTGCATTTATGATAGAAAAGGCAAAAGAAAGCACGATAAGATACATGCGTGAAGGTAGTGGTTGGACATTTAGTCACATTGAGGAATTAGAAATTCATATAAATACATTTATACCACTTAAGGAAAATTCATACATACCTCTTCCAGTTAAACTAGCTAAAAAGAAAGCTATTATTTATGTACAAAACAAGGACGACAAGTGTTTTCAGTGGGCGGTGCTTTCAGCGTTACACCATGAAGAAGTGGACAAAAATTGTACTAAGCGTGTAAGTCAATACATCCAATGGGAAAACGACCTTAACTTTGACAGCATTGATTTCCCAGTGTCATTAAAATCCATTAACAAATTTGAAAGACGAAATAAAGACCTTAACATTAATGTGTTTGGTTATGATGGTGTAGAAATAGATGAGTATGAAGAAGAAAAATTACAAGTGTACCCTTTAAGAATTTCAAAAAATACTGGCACAACACATGTAGACCTTTTGTTTTTAACCAACGCTTCTAAACAACATTACTGTTGGATTTAGAGTATATCACGTCTTTTAACATCACAAGTAACACATCATAAAAAATCTGTTTATTTTTGTCGAAGATGTTTAAACCACTGTTCAAGACAAGACATTTTAGATAAACACATGGAGTATTGTAATCAAAACAACTGAGATGATGCCAGATGAAGGTCATTGTATTTATTTTCAAAACTATAAACGATCTATGCGTGTTCCTGTCGTTATTTATGCTGATTTCGAATGTTATTTAAACAACATAGAGACCTGTCAACCTGATGCATCAAAACCTTACACCAACGCTTATAAACGACACACACTCCTGGTTTTTATTACCGTGTTAAGTATACACGTAAGGAAACTAAAGAAGGACTACTGTACCATGGGTAAGAGGTGGCTAAAAAGTTATGGAAGAAGAAGTGAAAGACATTGCAGACATGTATCAAGACGAAAAAAACATGGTGATGACAAAAGAAGATAATGTATGTTTTAAAGCGAGTACACGTTGTCACATTTGTGACGATGAATTAGGAGTTGACAAAGTACGAGATCATGATCACTTAACAGGTAAGTATCGTGGTGCAGCACATAAGAAGTGTTATTTAGACTTTCAACTTCCCACCTTTGTTCCTGTTGTGTTTCATAATTTAACGGGGTATGATGCTCATTAGTTTTTCTAAACAAATAAGGGGTACTCATTTAAAAATGCGATTCATTGATTCATATAGGTTTATGTTAAATTCACAAGAAGTGTTAGCTAAAAATCTAACAAAAGATAAATTTAAGGCAGTGAAAGCATCGTTTGGTGATCACTATGAACTGATGATTAGAAAAGGGGTGTATCCTTACGATTACATGGATGGTCCTGCAAAGATGGAAGAAACACAACTGCCATGTGCTGATTATTTTTACAACAGACTTGATGGTGAACAGATAAGTGATGTCAACTATGCACATGCACAACATGTATTTAAGACATTTAACTGTAAAACCATGCAAGACTATCACAATTTATACTTGAAAGGGGATGTAACACAACTTCAAGACATTTTTGAAGATTTTAGAGACATTTGTTTACTACATTACGGACTTGACCCTTTACATTATTATACATCACCAGGATAAGCCTTTGATGCATCTTTAAACATTAGTAAAGTTAAACTGGAATTATAACATGATATAGATATGTTATACATGTTTGAAAAGGCTACTCGAACGGGTGTGTCTGAAATAAGTCATCGACATGGTAAGGCGAGCCATAAATACATGAGTCCTCACGACACTACACAACCTACCAAATACTTAACGTATTAAGATGCAAATAATTTATATGGGTGGGCCATGTCAGAACCCTTACCCACAGGTGATTTTAAATGGGGGAGAACCAAAAGAAGTGGAAGA